TGTATATATATATATATATATATATTTCGTTATTCCAAATGTGTTCCTATATTAAGTTTCTTTGAAATATGTCAAAATGTAACAATTAGAAAACAGGCAACAGAACAAGGAATAGTAAATAAATTTAGAAATTTTCCAAATATGTGATTATACACAAGAATATTTACCTTTGGCAAGGCTGTAGCAAATTTATAGTTTAAACTGCCGGTATAAATCGTCGTGGGTCCAACCGCTCTAGGATGCTGTATAACTGGATTGGCGTTAATAAACACCATGTCGATGTTGTCTATTAATTTATTGATCGTGGAAGTAGTGTTGAAAAACATGTGTAATAGTTTTTCTCTAATAGGATGGCTAATATATTCATAGAACAGTATAGTGTGCAAGTAATAAATCATACTTGCTATCCTTTCTGAAAAACTAAGCGGGGCATAGAAGGACGATCCTTCATCAGGATATAATGCTGGAGACGTGGGATTTCCTATTCTCTCATGAGTCACTACAAATACATCCATGGTACTGAATAGAATTGTGGGACAGTTGTATTTTTCTGCAAGAACCAAGAGCTCAACATAGAAAAATTCCACAAGAAGTACGTCAAAATGCTTCTGCTTGTTATGTAAAAAATCTTGAATTTGTTGTTGTGATAATAATGCTTCTGATATATTGTATGACATATCATGAGCCCATTTATGAAAACTCCACATGGTCAAAGAGTTTTCGGCCAGATCACTTATGTCTGCAAAGAATTTGTAAGCCCAGTTTATATCGATTTCTGTTAGATTGGTCAGAGTTTCATTCTTTTGTGGATCTGATGTAATCACAGTCACTTTATGACCTCTTAGAGACAATTGATTCCAGAAATCGTAGTAAGCTTTTTGATGACTGTACGATGGGGTCGGTATAATTGCCAAAATATTGGCACAGAACGCAACAGTCGCGACGTGAACGACTAGGATAATATATTTGGAAAACATTTCACGTATTCACCATGAATTAGTGTATAATACTGACGAATTGCATAAAATATAGTTATATTTAACAGTCTGATAAGATAGTAAATTTAGACAAAACGATATGGTATGCATGATTGCATGCATATTACTTGCCTAGTCCAGTCTTCGTACACTTAAAAAATTCAGTGTTCTATTCATGCCATATAAGAGAGATGTGGTAATTGATTTAAAATTTGTTCACTGGGTCACTGTGGACGTACCGCAGTAACCTTCTGGAGAGAGCAGTTGAAGCAGGAAGATGATATGTTCCCATCGGGATCCCTATACTGACAAATCTCGGGTGGGAGATGAGAATTCAGGAGGAAGACAGAGATATCCAGGAAAGTTTTTCACTGACTACATAAATATCACAGTCTTTCAGGGAGAGGTTTTCGCAAGTAAGGAGAAGGTATGGAGCTATGTAGAGGAGAGGCCGCATTCATGGAGTTAGCTCGCAGAGAACAAGGTCCTTGTTCAGGGGAGATGCCCTGGGGTTACTGGCAGAGTTAGAGTTGGTTTAAGTTCCGGGCCACATGGGTATCTCTAGACAGAGCAAACCATTTGACTCGTCTTAGATTCAGGGGACATGAACAGGGACCTAAACCAATTCTCGGAATTACACACGGTAGCATTAACAGGGCCCTTAATAAATGGACCTATCAAATATTAGGCTAAAATAAGAGGATGAATAGAGGATGTAGAGTCCATAGTTTTATGGACCTAACAAATCTAAGAAGATATGGCTGCTGAGTCTTGATCAATGAGCCCTAAACTAAATTATGAGGATCTTGACAGGTCAATGCATACTTAGGAGGCACTTAAGCTTAATAGAAATTGAGGAGGCGCCTTAATGCCCAAAATCAATCTTTTAGGACACTGTGCAGATGATGAATGATATGTGCATACTGTTGCACCCCCCGTACTCTCGTACGTTACGCTTACTTTATTGTTGGCATATTTCGGAAATCATAGCGAATCCTTCTGATTAAATTGAAATGAATAGTAATTTATTAGTTAGATATTGAGAATATCTAATTAATTTAGAACGCAATTAATTTCTCCCCATGCTAATCTGTTCTCATATACTGGTCTCTACTATTTTCATGTCATTTAAAAATCTTTGAGAGCTGAAAGACCGCTGAAAAATTCGTATTTACTGTTAGACATTTAATTTTCACCCAACAACTTATTTCACATAACAAAGTATACTACCAATAAACCTTTCAAAGTAACCGTTAAAAAATGGCGTGAGCTATTTCTACAAACAGGTATGCGAGAAAGGTAAGCATATAAACATGCATTTGTACGACATGAATAAAGAATGTGTCTTTGTCGTAGTGGTGCCACTTGTTCCCAAACTTCTTTCATTAGCAAAATGCCTTTATTGTGATTAAATTAACCGAAAAAAAACTGGTGTTGGCACTAAAACGTTTCCTAATTTAATGGATATAACAATATTGTCCTTCCTCTCCTATGGCATTCAATACTCAGTCATTTTTAACTGGACTATAGTTATTATATTATACCTATGTGCCTTAATTAATAAAATTTTATCAATTTTTAACATATATTTTTTTTTGTATGATAAAACCTCTACATGCACGTTGATATATCAAAACATCACGCTACGTGATCCAACATAACATGCCAGAACGCATCTTGGAGTGAAATGGAATAATATCAGTACACAGATCCTCTTTAGTTTTTTAGCCAACTATTTTACAGTTTTTTTTTAATTATTCACATTTCCATTAATTCCGAACAATGTCATGGAATTGTTGCATATTCTTCAATTTTTTCGAGCTTTAATTAAAGAAGCTATGAGTTCCTATGACAGAGCGAAATTTCAGAAAATTCTGAGTCTTCTATTCCAGTTTTCCCCTCTGACGTCATATATATGGTTGTTCAGTATAAAGGATGATTCAGAACTTATCCAAAAAAAAATGGGAATAGATGCGGCATGAGAAATGGAGTCAATATCGTAAAAAAAAATTGTAAAATCCTTATAGTTTCCGAGAAAAAAATTATTGAAGTTATAGTACATTCAACGACTACATAGCTGGACAACTGTAGTCTCTAGCATCATTTGCAATGCCCGTGGAGAGCCACGTGGCCTCAGCGACTCCGAATACTGAAATCGTATTTTGCAATCGTCGTTGCAACAGTATTTACCTGTTATCTGTTGTGTTTACAATATTTTTTTTAGTAATTAGTGTCAAAAATGGGTAGTTAGTGTCAAAAATGGTTTGCGTGTAGTTGCTATATGGATATCGTTTTAATTTATGGTGAAGCATTTGTGTTATGGTGAAGCAAGACAACATTTGTGTTAGTTCGTAGAAACTGAGTAAGACGGACCCAAATGTGTTTACACGTTGGTGGATTTTGAACAATTGTTGTAAAATCGGGAAAAAACAAATTAATTGTATTAATTAATAAAGGCAAAAGCAGTTGAATTTGCCGATATAAAATAGGTGCGATAAAATTCTATTGACGTATTTCTTTCCTTGCGAAAGTTTTTGTCCGTTTTTATCACACCGCCATGCCGGTCGCATTGTACGAGGTCAGGTTTTACAGTGGACCAGTTTCCAGTGCCGTGCAGAAGTGTATATTTTTAAATCATTTTCGAACTGCCCTTTTTGATTATTTCTTTACAAAATTGTATTTATAAGGGTCTCCTGTACATCCAGAATTTTTTTTTGGATAAGTTCTGAATCACCCTGTATATAACAACAGAACAGTGGATTCCCATCTTTAGGAAAAAAGCATGTGATTATACATATTTTGCAGTTAAATACTCTTTTTATAACTATAATTTAATGTATTAAATGTGTTACAGGTCTGTTATTTTGAATGCAACCCTTTCCAGTACTCCTGGAAAGCTACTTTGTGACTTTGGGACGATGTTGGAATGCATGCTAAAATTTTAGCCCAGTTCGTATACTTCCGTATAGCAAGTGGAATACTAGATACGTGCGGTCAATAGTACTGTTTATTTTTGAAGAGCATATTTTAGATAGGATTCTGGTCCAAATTAATTATCTTATAAATTTATGGAGCCCTTACTATAATTGTCATTTTCCTAACCGTATAGAGAAATATTAGACAATAATATATTATATTTTAATATTATTTTTATATTATTCTATTTGTCTAAAAGATTAAATCAATTTATCAATTAATTGTATTTTGTTAGTGAAAAATCATTATTGTATTATAAAAGTTCATTTCTAAGCAACCAACAATACTAGCTGAATATATCTAATTCACGATATGTTATGAGTAAATATGAAACATGTGTAATACTTTCTGTTTATGCGCAATTAATAAAATATGTTATATTAGTACTTTACAAAATAGTTATAGTTTTGATAGTGCATAGTAATAGATCAAAGAACTTTGTTAAACTTACGCAACGATATACAGGTTGAAAATATATTGGTAACGCGGGGAATAAAAAAAGTATTAGCGAATAAACTCTTATAAAGTAATCATCAACGTTTGGTTTTACACATGGAAATCGAAATATTGTTATTCTGTGTTTTTGTGGCATATATGTATGTATATCATTTGTTTCATATGTTTTTATGTATCTTGCAAAATCATTATTCGATACAACATTTGTTATAATAAAACAAAACACTCTATAACTCAATTTAATTTATTACTTAAAATGCTACATTCAAGTAGTTATTGGGATTTTTTATTGATAAAATCAAATCTGTCACAAAAATAAACTTTAAATAAATTAAATATGTTGTACAAGAAAATAAGAATGATCAATAATGCAATCACCGTAGCAGAAATAAGGAAACCAATAACATCTAGTAGATAATACTGATATAGAGGTAAATCTGCTGCAGGATTTCTTAGGTGTTTAACTCCTTTATTCCTGATGACGTACTCCGTCCACCATATTGCTTTTTCCAAACCTGTTATTGGAGTGTCTAAGGACAGTCGCTTGATCCTCCTGACTGCATTTTTATATCTAAAGATAAGAATTAACAGTGAACTTAAATACAAAGTAAAATGTTCAATTTGTACCAATTCATATATAAATTTGAGCTTTCTGGTATGGTAACATAACAGCAAATTAGAAAAAATTTAAGATAGTTTTAGTTCAAGGTCGATTTAAGAGTTTTAATATGCAAGACTTCCCACAAGCATAGGAAAAAATAAAATAGTTAAATCCTTGTTTTGTTTAGTCTTTCTATTCATGTTTCCACTAAAAATGTAGCCCCTCTTTTATGAGATAATCCTGACTTGACACAGTACTAATAAAACGTCACTGTAGGTATCAATATATATTTCTCGTTTTTTTTCTTTAGATCTACATTGACTAATATCGTTGCTCATATCATTGGCATATCTAAATTATTGTTATTACCAGACTGTTTTATGAAATTAAATAATTTTTTTGTTAATATAATGTATTTATTCTATATTTAATATTGATTGTGGTGGGACCAACTGCCCTCACAGGTTGTACCACTGGATTCACATACAGAAACAACATATCGATTTTACTCATTAAGTCACTTACTGTAGAAGTTGTATTAAAAAATGTTGTCATGTGCGCTTGCTTCGCGGGATAACTTATATAATTATAAAAATATGACGTGTGCAAAAAATAAATGGTATTTATTATCGTTCCATTAAAATTTTGCGGTGCCTGGAATGGCGCCCCAATATTGGAATCCAAAACAGGATGAGAAGGGTTTCCTACTGCCTGATGAATATTTGTGAGCACATCAAAGGAACTGATTAGAATCACGGGACAATTATACTGGGTGTTTTCACTTTAAATTTGGAAAATCCAGGAATGTATTCCCTATCAAAAATTAAGTGTAGTTTGCTCTATAAAAATTTTTTATGAAAGCCTTTGTTTTGGAGATACAGGGCGTTGAAGCTTAAGAAAAATAAACACCTTTTTGACATATCTCGGCTATCCACTAGTAGATTTGATTTAAACTTGGTACACATTATGCGTG